GGCAACAGAGAAGTGTTTCGCCGAAGTGCAACTTAACGGTAAATACGGTAACTTTGAACGGTTTTTACAACGTCAGTATACCTTGGCCGAAAAATATTTTTCCGAAAACGTGATGTATATCCATCCAATGTCTGATTCATCACTGTGATTGCTTTCAGCAGCGTTGGACTTTTGAGAAATAATTATTTTAAAATCAACTCAAACGCTCGATCTAATTTAATATGCAATATTTGAAAATTTATTTTTTATTCCCTTCGGCAGTTTTTCGATGTTTATCGAATGATATTGCATTAAAAGGCCTTTTTCTTCATCACTGTGTGGTTTTCTCGCTATTTTGCGTTGCGATAGTGATTTCTGGACCGTTTTTTGCGAGAGATTATTTTCGGCCTGATTTTGCTGCTATCAGACGGAAAAAGTTTGCGGCTCGATATTTTTGGTTTAAAGCGAAACTGAAACAAAAGAAATCCATTTTTGAATAGTATTCGGTAACCTCTACTTGGGAGATAAAAATCGGCCGATTTTATTTTTTAGCCGGAAATCATCGGTCGTTTCTTAGGCGCAGGGCCTCTTAACATTTCACCTTCTCAAGAAGCAATTGACCAATCAATGCCCAAAGGCTTCCGAGAAAAAAAAGTATTCCTTGACCAGAGTGATCACAGACTGCATTGAGGTTGAGTGTGAAATGCCTAGCAGTCTACATCTAAATGGTGAATTGCTTAGCAATTACAAACATCACACTACACTTAAAGTTGAGTTGGAATCAGTCCTGGGGGTGCAGTGACTTCTACTAGACAACTTTATACTGGAAGTATTTCTGACAGAGAAATAGATGTTAGAAGTAAATTTCTTGATCTTCAATTCCAAGAAAATGACTCAATAATGGCAGACAAGTTTCCTTAAATATCCCCGTAACGGCTCCCGTGTGCCTTAGGTTTTGTTTCGATGTATTTTAAGTTCATTTTATGTCACAATGATTTTCCACTAGCCATCCTTAGCTTAAATACCACTACACGCGCATAGTTTTTCTAAGGCTCACAGAAATTTGATTGGTAACCATCTCAAGAAACGTCTTTGTTGCTGTTGAACTCAGAACCTACAAAAGCATTTGCCCCAACAGGTCCTACAATGGGATTGCTGTAAAAGTTAGTGCAACTTACTTTCTCAGTTCTGAGGTTTTGCCAGAAGACAGGGTCAAAGGCAATCTTCTCAACGTAAATAACCTTGTTGGTATAAACAATAAAGTCACACCATTTGGCCCCTGATACACCCATTTGTTGGGCGTAATATGGGTGATTTCATTTAACAAATTGGGATCCAGTGGGATGACATGAGACTGTGTGTGTGGGCATTTTACCTCTCCCAAACCGAGGCAAACGGAACACCCATAATCAACGATTTTGGCGTCAGGTGTAGCACCAAGCAAGGATACCTATTTGAACCAAGTCCACTTTTGAGGACAGACACGGGAGATTTCCTATTGAACATGAACTTTTCATATTCCTGTAAGGCAGTAGGTTCATACTTGATCCCATGGGCCATGTCTTGATGAGAATAGTTTCAGATGCATATGGGACTGGGCAAAGCTTGTGATTTCTTTACCGTTTGGAAATAAGGTGGAAATTTGACGTTGTGAATCTATGGGTGCACCCCTTCTTCCATTGTCCAGACACAGTCTGGTCTCGAGTGTTGCTTTCAATGCAATGTACCTTATCCTCATCAACACTTAAAAGGTTTAACCACCAAAGCACAACTTTCCAAGCGGTAAGTCAGTGATATTTGTTTTGCGTTGCAATTTGTCGTTTCTGTAGGCACATGCCTAATTCTCTTTGTTCTTTTACAGAGGGGGGTGAATAGATCTGCGGATCGGCAGTTTTGGCCTTAAAAAGCTCACGGATTGTGGATTTCGGCGATAAATCGCGTGGACTCGCGGATTTGAAAAATACCCTGGATAGCGGATCAGCTGAAAGTTTTGGCCCGGTTTCCGGATTCTGTCAGTCTAGAAGTTCGGATCATGGATCGGATCATCAATTTTTGGTTGGCCTTGGTTAATGTGCTGGTGTTTTGTCGGCTAACGTTCCACTTCCGAGGTTTCCGGAAGAGACTTTCTCGTGACCCGACTCATATTCTAGCATAAACAGCATGACGGAAATGACGCCAGGCAACCTTGTGCATGGTTCCTGCATCGGGACACATGGTTCAGGTAATGGCGGTAATGCTAAGTGAACTGACAAGATCTGTGAATGCGTTCATGTAAATTGTCTAAATTGCAAAATGGAAACTAGAACTATCGAGTGTGTAGCCTTTTTCTACCACGAAGGTGCCAAAGGCGATGACTTTATTCAAAAAAATAAGTTTCGATGCTGCGTCGATTCCAGTCAGTGGGGAAGTGTGGTGAAGCTAGGCGAGCACGTTAGGTAAGTTTTATATTTGGTTTATACATGAACTGATATAAATTATGTTCTCCGAAGCTATTTCAGCTAGTTTGCTTGTCTTGATCGTTAACTTAATAGACCTTTTCACGGTTTCTGTCGCCATCGTGGTTAAGGGCAAACATGGCAAAAGATGAACCATGGCAAATACTTACTGGTAAGCAAATTACCATGAAGTTGAGTTCTGCCTCTTCCGAATTTTGCGGCTCGACTAGAAGCATGTCCAGAGCGATGTCAGTAAGTAAATTTATTGAAAAATCTTTTAAGCAATACCAGATACTTTCATTTTGCAAGCTTGCAGACTATTTGAGCAGTAAAATCTGTATTGTTGGAAGCACCATTATAAGCTCTGTCCCTAATGCTTAATGTTTTGAAGCTGTAACGAAAACTTTTTAAACAAGAAGTCCCGCATCCGTTGCGATTACAGAACAACTATATTAATTCATTTTTTCATGCTACAATACAACTTTCTATATACCACAAAACGTTTTAAAGTAACACAGATTCAGATTTAACAAAAATTACGTCGGATCGACGGATTTGCATACCCCTATTCACCCCCCTCTTTTACAGTGCGAATGAGTATCTGAATGCTAAAACCGATCATTTTTTTGTCAACCTGGACAAAAATCTCATCTATACCTGGCGAAAAAGATAGCGGTTGAATCTAGATACAGCACCTTGGCTGGTGCAGGCTGAGACGAGGCAACAAACGTGACATTCCCAGCAAATGGATGGGGCACTACACTGGAGCCCTTTCTTCATGCGTGCTCAGATTAACAGCCACATTGCAAGTTCCAGAAAAAACAAAACAGCAATCACTACTCGTTGCTGACAGGACTACGGAAAGCCAAAGCGATTTTGGAGGACAAGTATTTACATGACATTCAACCTGCCCATGATGAGAGATTTTTACTGTTGCACGAAGTGTTTTCATAGCTTCAAAGTGCGTGAGCATCCCCATAACTTAAAACTAGTGCTCTCTGTTTTTCTTCCCGGAAGTCAAATATGCATTTTGTGGACCCACCAGTACCGCAGGAAAGTCAGGAATTTGCAAGACAAAGAAACCATGACAACATCTTTTAGCACAAAAGGAATTCGCATCAGCTGCTATGGAACATGGCAGAAAATATGAGCCAGTCGCTTTAACAGAGTATGAAAAATACATGCAAAAAATAGGAAAGCGTACCAAAGTTATCAAGAGTGGTCCCTTTGTTTCACCTAAGATCCCAATTTTAGGTTGCTCACCAGATGCAAAAGTGGTTGACCTACGCTGCAAAGACAACTTTGCAATTGGAGAGGTAAAATGCCCCTCCCTAAAGTTTAGTATCTCCCCACTTTATGCCTGCGAGCATCCTAGCTTCTTTTTGGAAAATAAGATGGGAAGCCCACATTAAAGAAAGGACACATGTATTATGACCAAGTGCACGGTGGCGTGACCATTGTTTATACGTGCAAAGGGTTAGGGTTAAGTGTCGAGACGGTCAAGTTCAATCAAGATAACTGGAATGGACTTTTATGGAATGCCAACACTGTCTTATGTCAACCTCTTTCATTATATGCGGTGCATTTTATATTATATCCGGTGCTTTTCCAATTATATGTGGTGCTTTTGTTGTTATATGTGGTACATTTGTAATTATATGCGGTGCTTTCATCATTATATGCGGTGCCTTCGTCATTATGTGGTCCTTTTGTAATCATATGCAGTCCTTTCATCTTTATATGCAGTGCTTTCGTCTTTATATGCGGTACTTTCGTCGTTTCATGTGGTTGTTTTTTCATTATGTAACGTTATTTTTACATTATATGCGGTGCTTTGTCATCATTATACGAGATGCTTTTGTCGCGGTGCTTTCTTCATTATGAGGTGAAGATTCCGCGGGGTCTGGGTAAGAGCTTCCAATAATCCACAATCCAATGGGCACCGATATTGAGCATCCGCCATTTTCAACACATTTCCGAGCGCGCAAGTTTAAATGCAGTGGCTCAGTTATGGATTCAATTTTACACCAGTTGAGTTTGGGAACCCTCTCAGAAAGCTTTTCAAATGAAAGGATAGACCCAGGGGTAGCATTGTCTATGTCAGATAGTGCTTTGACCGACCTGGGAGTGAACACGATTGGCGACCGTATTCGACTCAGAGAACTTTGCACAAAATATGTCTCTAATCAAGGGCAATCAGACAAGGATGATGGAAACGCAGCTGCCTCAGGCACTACTTTGAGTGGCAGAGATTCTGTTAGGCAAGAAAGGAGCCTTTTATTTCAACCAAACAGCACTGCAGGGGTGAGAAGTGCTAACTCTGGAAGGGGGAAAAAGAGGAAGAACTCATGTCCGCAAAGGACGTGGACTGTACAGTTTGTGTGTCTTTCATCTCGCTTCGCGAAGAAAACGCCGACTACAACCGAGAAAAGTATGCTACTTCAAGCAGGCTTGGGGTGTAAGAAAATCAAGCTCCTTGCAGATGATACAGAGGAAGATGTGTTGAATAAACTGACAAGTGATGCCAAAGATGAGTTTGGAAATACATTGGGCTTCCCTTAGTTGCGTACATGCGGCGGGTTTGAAATGTTGCAGTGCTTGGCGAACTGCAGAGACTTATCTGTCATTGGCACTTCGTGGTCTGTTCGCGATCTAAAATCTGCTTTGGGTGGGCAAGCAAAAATTTATTTGAGGCCCATACAGAAAAATCTCAGCACCAGATCTCAAGAGCCTAAACTAAGTGAGTCTTTGTTGAAGGAGAAATGCCGCTGGTGCCAGAAACCATTTCTTTTCAGCGAGCTGAGGGAACATTCCTCACATTGCACAGGAAATTTCTTTGGTGACAGTGACGATGATGCCACAGACCTCCCAGCTGTCATGAGTGGAAGGCCTGACTCCAGCAACAATAGCACTGAGTCTTCATTGAATGTTCCAATTTCTGTTGCAGCACAACAGCCTGCGAATGTACATAGAGCGTCCAGTCTGCAGGTTTCTCAAGCTACATCCTTGCAGTCTCCTTTACAGTCAAATGGCACTCGATATTCATCGAATGTTCCAGGTTTTGTTGCAGCACAGGCGTCTGTAGATTTACATACAGCATCCAGTCCAAAATATTCTCAAACAACCCAGCAGCTTCCTTTACATCAAGATTCCATGGTAGCTGCAACTCAGCCTGCCAATTATGTCACTTCCCCAAGTATTCAAGCTACCACCCAGCAGCTGGGAGGAGAGGCAGTTGATGATGCCAGGAGGAGTATTTCAAATCTTGAGGATATTTTAGAGCAAGTTGCTATCAAATGTGCAGACAGTGGGAATCCTGTTCAGATGCTTCAGTGTTTACAGGACTCTGTTGTTGTTGGAAGGGCTTTGGAAATTGTAAATGTTTCAGAAAGTTTGGAGGGAGATGTCAACTATATTCTTGTCAACAGGTACAATCTGCTGGAAACAGCCTTTGATGAAATTCAACTGATTGAGAATCCTCGACTAACTTTACAAGTTCAGTTCTGTGGTGAGGTAAGTAACTCACAGCGACTTTTTTAGCACATAATTAAGCAGTAGACCACGCTTTCTGTGGGTTTACCAGTGTGATAACCCACACAGGATGTTGGGAGAAAACGAGAAAAGCTTGTAAATCACAACCCAAAGGTGAGTGATTTACAAGCTTTTCGAAAGGAAAAGAGCTGTTCAAACTGGTTAAGCCATATTCGATCTTTCTCTTACATGTTGATTTTCAAAAAACTTGATACTACAAACTCAAAGTTGACCATCTCTCCTTTTGCCCTTGTAGCTCATTTTGTTGTTTTTGTTTTGTTTATTGTGTGCTACTGATAAATTAAACAGAAGGCTGTTATTTTGATGGATCCCTGGTTAAATAATTGCATAGTCTACATTTCTAACATAATACTTAGTACCAAAGATTTCTTTTGCAGTGATTTCCTTAGAACTGATAGAGGGTTGGTATTCTTTTTAGATTGCAGAGGACCTTGGCGGTCCAAGAAAAGAGTTCTTTGGCCTCATATTACATGAGATAAAAGAGAAATATTTTGATCATGGCCTCCGGTGGGACTTTGAGAAAGACTACGAGACTGTGGGACTTATAATGGGTAAGTAACAGTTAATTTGCCTGATCATTTGTGAAACATTTCACATAAAAAAACTTCTTCTGTTTACCTTACTGGTCTGTTTTTTTTCAAAGATAGCTTAAGAAGTGGAAAAGAATTGGTTCTTTTTTCAACTTTAATAAATAAACAGCAGTCAACAGATTTACTAGTCATTTGTCTCGAGTAAAAAATGAAGGGGTGTCTAGGAATAAAGAGTAAAGTGACTTCTGATCAATAGCTGCATTCTCCTTCCATCCTCTTTATATCATTCTCCTTCTATTAATTTATCACATAAATGCTTTAATAGAAGGCCTTCTTCCAAATGTAAACCATTACTAAATTAATTTTTCCACTTCCATTTATGGAAAGTCACATGTTAGCTTTTTGATGGTAATCTTTTATGTCACACTTGATCGCAACAGGAATGAGCATCCTTCAAAATGGAAAAATTCCAAGATTTTTGACGGAGGAAGTTCTCCAGGAGACCTTCTCAAGTGCAGCACCATCCCCTTGTATTGCTTATTTGAGGAAAGGACTGTCCCAATTGGGAATATACCAGGTAGAGAAAAAAAAAATTTATTTATTTAGTATATGAAATTACTAAATTTGTATACAAAATACTAAACAAGGGGAAAGAACTTCAGTTACCTTGAGTCATTATCTTATAAAGTAGCTAAAATGTTTGTGTATATCTCAATTAGTATGGATGAATTCATGATTCTTGGTAGATTATTACAGAATTGAGCCAGGAAAAGGTGATGTTGCTGAGTGTTTTGAAAATAACTTACTGTTATCAGGGATAAAGTGTTAAGTATAACTTTTACCTACAGGCACTGTGCAATCATCTTTGTTTTGTGGCTGGTCAGGGAAATTTTAGCAGTCATGGAAACTGGTGATAATTTAACCTTTTACAGATTTTGGTTATTGTTGTTGTTGGGGAATTATTGCTATGATTTTCATTGATCAGCAACCTAAGACAAAAAAATGGACTGACCTTACCATATTACAATTTTTCTATTTTGTAGCTTGGAAGTCGTATGCCCACATTTCTTCACCTGTTCCGGCCAAACCCAGTTAGCATACTCACCTCAAGGAAACTAACAATGTTGTTGACACCGTCACTTTCTCCAGAGGGATCAAACAGAAAAAAATTTGAAACTGAAGTCTATTCATTATTTGTTAAATATCTCAGGGAAGCAGCAAGTAAGTCTGACAACTACCCAAACAGCTATTTCAAGAAAAGCTGTTGGAAAATATATACTTAACACGCAACAATCCCAAAAGGTAATAGGAACATACTGGGTACTTATACACTGTTCCTGATCATGATGAGACTAACTGTGGAACCTACTTTTGTTGTCCTCCTTTTGCACTCACTCACAGACATATAGCCACGGCCTGTTATCCTGCCATCCATTTAAATTTCTTCAAAAAAACAGCGATAGACTCAAAACCACCCACAATACCTTTCAGGGTTGTTGCGTGCACTTTTTTCAACAACCTTTCTCAAAATAGCTGTATACCACATGCAGTCAGTTTAGAGTTACATTAATATTGGCAACCTACACAATATTACCAAGAATGATTTTTCAGCAATGGCAGTTCATACCCAGCTTGTTTCCTCTGGAACACTCTTGTAATGTTTATGAGATTTTGTGATCTTTTTAGTAACTCATACAATGCACATGAAAATATAAGTTACCAGCTACCCAAAACCCAGTTCCTCTATTTAAATGGCCAGATACATGCTTTTATACCTTCTGCACGCAACTACCATTTGTCCCTGATGGTGGTGTTCTCCTTGGATGGAACAGTGTACTAAAACGGTTTTCACATACTTGCCTGATCTTTGTTCTTTAGCATTGTTCCATAATGCCTACCAGCAACAATGTGTTGTTCATTGCAGGTGGGAGAAGAGGAAGAGTGAGCCTTGGTCATGTGCTGAGGTTCATAACAGGCACAGATGAAGAGCCAATCTTAGGCTTCAAGATGCAACCTTCAATAGAGTTTTGTGAGAACTCAATCTTTTTTCCAACATCCAACACTTGCATAAATAGTTTGAAGCTCGTACGTGGATCTCTGATCCCACCTCTCCCCAGTGAAGCAGAGCTTTTTCAGACATTTGATGTTGCCTTTGGGTGTGCCTATTTTGGAAGTGTTTAGAGCTTCTAGATTGCCGCAAATATTTCTTGCTTGTTCATGTTTTACATAATGTTTTATCTTGTTAAATTGGTTTGACCCTTTCACCCATTGCTCTGATGTGATTTTAAAGCACTTACAGCAATATTGATTCAAAGTTAACAGTAACATACAAGAATTATTTAGATACATGTAGATGTATGTGACTCCCATGCTTGAGACAAGATGATTACCACTATCAAGCTCAAAATTCACTATCTTTCTTCATTTATCACTCCAAATAAAATTTTGTTGTTGTTGCTATTGTTGTCATTATTCTAACCCCTTTTGGGAAGTTCCCTAAGGGTCCGATTAAGGACTTAGTTTTGAAACTGGGGTCACTGGCTTTATCCCCAGAACAGGCTTCCTCAAAGCCTTGTTCCAAACAATGCTGGAGTCAATGTTGCTCTATGTTTTTTGTTTTTTGTTTTTTTTGGGGGGGGGGGGGGTAAGGTATTTACTATTAAGCTTGCACTGACAACATTGGCAAACAGCCAGTTGCAACTCTACTGATCCCTACTAAGAGTACTAATTCCTCGCTGTGGCACAATTTTTGTTAAGAGTCAAATGAGTTAGGATAACTAACAAGATGATGGGTCCATAATATCAAAAAAACGAGGACACAAATATCATCCTTCAAACACTGGAAGATTCAGACAGATGAGACCTGTTTCAAAAAGGCAAGGCTTGGCCCCTTCCTCAGGTCTCACAAGCCCCAATCTATGATGCAGCTTTAAGTTGAGGCACTGTTCCATGCAAGTATGACATAACAAACTGACACCCAAAGCTAGACCAACTATGTACTTGATCCTTGCTACAGATTAATGTAAGAAGTTTTGTTTACAGGTGTAGGCTAGAGTTTGACAAAAGAAACACTACATAAAAGAAGTTAACAGTCTATTTCTTTGCCTCACAGGGAAGCAAATTATAACAGCAATGATTAATGGTGCTCATTAGAATTTTCAATAATGCTTAGTGCTTGTAAATACACATCTATCCCATAGTTGCTAGAGTTCCAACTTGATGGTACTTGGTTTCTAAGGGATTCTAAACAATGATCACTGAGCGTGTGGGGCATCTCAAAAATTGGCCTACTGTCCTCATCTCTTTCATCATGAAGGACTCCCTCCATGCCATACTGTTCCACATCAACAAACTCGCCTTCAAGACCAACTGGATTTTGCAGCTGACCAGCAAGCCATACACACAGTGGAGAAGATTTCATTGTTCTTACACGGTGTCTGGACCAGGCATTTCTCCACAATTCCAACTTTTCATTTATTTTTGGAAGGAAAACATGATGAAGAGCAGCAATATGAAGGTCATTGAATGGGTCTAAAATACCTTTGTCCTCCATGAAATAAAATAACTGATAATATAAGCCCAAAACACCCTCAAAAACATCCCGCCACAACCTTTCGATGCGCTGATTGTGAGTGCTCTTACCAGTGATCATACTACCCCTATCTGCACCCCTTCTTGTTATCATGTAGTCAGCAACTAAGACATTTTCTCAACCTTTATCCGATCGCACCCTACTTGGGAGACCGTACATTTCAACGCCTTTTAAAAAACAATGTAACACGGTTTCAGCCTTGTTGTTGTTTTGGCACTCTATTGTGACAGGCACGCGGCTAAATCCATCGATAACACCAACAATAACAAAGTACCACCGTACAAGCTTGTGGTTGGTGTCAATATGCCAGAGGTGGTTTGGCCCCTTTACGTTGTAGACACGTCGATGTAATCGTCCTTTCTTTCTGGCATTGACCCCATCCTGGTCAACCCTATGTATGCTGTCTCTGATTCTCATCCTTTGCACCATAACACCTTTTTGATAAAGAATTTGCTTGATAAAGTTTTCCCCACAATAAGGAAATTCTACAGTAACTTTTTCGACTTCCGCGTCAAGATCTTTGTCTGGAATGTCAGTGAACTCGAACTTGCTCAATCCGTATTGCCTCATCCTCCGGTAAATTGTACTCTCTGATACAGCAAGGATCGAAGATATTTCCTTGATTGTAAATCCTTCTTGTAGTAAATTACCTATCACAGGCTTTGGAATAAAGAAAATAGGGGCACCACAAGTTCCCTCGGGTTTCTTCGGTGCTTCTTCCCCAAATTTGGTGCATTCTATTCGCAAAGACATCATATCACTGCGAGAATTTATGCCTAACATTTCCATTTCGTGTACCGACAACTTGCAAAGAATGTCCGGAGTAATGGGTTCGGTTTCAAATTTCTTAGTCAGGCCTTCGAGTTTCAGTCTCTTTAAGACTGTGTCCATGTTAAGCTGAATTCGATGTGGCAAGAACGTGTTGAAAATGGCGGATGCTCAATATCGGTGCCCATTGCATTGTGGATTATTGGAAGCTCTTACCCAGACCCCTGGGAATCTTCACCTCATAATGAAGAAAGCACCGCATATAATGACAAAAGCACCTCGTATAATGATGACAAACAAAGCACCGCATATAATGTAAAAATAACGTTACATAATGAAAAAACAACCACATACAACGACGAAAGTACCGCATATAAAGACGAAAGCACTGCATATAAAGATGAAAGGACTGCATATGATTACAAAAGGACTGCATATAATGACGAAGGCACTGCATATAATGACGAAAGCACTGCATATAATTACAAATGTACCAAATATAACAACAAAAGCACCACATATAATTGGAAAAGCACTGGATATAATATAAAATGCACCGCATATAATGAAAGAGGTTGACATAAGAGAGTGTTGGCGTTCCATAGACTCTGTGACAAATTCTGTGGCTATTACTTTAAGCACTTTGGCTGCACTTTAAAAACATACATTATTTTTATTCGACAAGTGTTGTTGGAAAATGGTGTAATACACACCGAATGCAAATATGGTGGACCACTCGGGCGGATCGGGCCGAGATGCGTGAAGTCGAGGCTAGTTAGCTCTCAATGTGTTTTGTTCTGACAATGCGTCAGTAGAAACTTGCAAACATCAAGTGTATCGATAGTCATTTTCGCGATGCCCACTCATTGCTGTGTCCCTGGATGTAACCAAAAAGGTGTAAAATCGTCAACGGGAGAGAAAGTATCTTTTTTTGAATTTCCGAAGCAATCTCTACTGAGAAAGAGGTGGATTCACGTGATCAGACGTGACAAAGGAAAGAACTGGCAGATCACGTGAGGCATGAAAGTTTGCTCTTTGTATTTTAGATGAGATCTTAGAAAGTCACTCGCTGGACGAACTTATCTTGTGGATGGATGTGTACCATCAAGATTTGCTTGGTCTATTCCATCCCCAAGGAAAAGAAAAGCACCAACAGAAAGGCTGCCTTTGCCGATTCCCTTGTCTTCGAAGAAGCACTTGTTTACATCCAACACTTCTTCTGAAATCAACGTCGCGTCTTCAGCTGTGGAAAGTTCAAATGAAATATTTCCCAGTACAAGTGGAGTCAACGAAACAAACAAGCCCGACATTAGCGTTGAGAGTAACGTGGAAATGGATCAAGGAAAGAAAAGGAGCTTGCGATCCTTCGAAAGAAGAACGAGCACTAGGCAAAATAACTTATTTAGGTCCAGTTTAAGCAACATTAAATAAGTATTAAATTTGAAGATAGTTTTTAGTCAGATTTAAGGATATTAAACATGACTTAAAAGCAAAGTTTATTTTAAGTCATGTTTACGTTTAAGTTAAATGCATATTAAAACTAGCTTTATATTTAAGATATATTTAAGTCACTTTAAACATCCCTAAATCACTGTAAGGATTTAATTACATTTAAGTCTTCTTAAATATGTCATTAAACGGAATGAAAGATTTAAGACAAATTAAAGTCTTCTTAAATATACCATTAAATGGACTGAAAGATTTAAGACAAAGTTAAGTCTTCTTAAATATATCATTAATTATAAATGGACTGAAAGATATAAGACAAATTAAAGTTTTCTTAGATATGCCAAAAATTTAATACCAGATTAAGTCGTATATTATTGATTTAAAGGTAAAAAAAATATTAAATCATAATTATTTAAATGATAATTTAATAATACTACTTTTATTATTTATTATTATTAAATCTTTTCCAGAATTTATTCCAAGTCCATTGAAGCCTCTTTTAAGCCTAGTTAAGTCTGCTACACACTCTTTTCCCCAATCCCTTACAAGAAATTATCCTTCTCCATCGATGCATACATGTATTGGCCTTTGGCTTAAAACTTTCTGCCATTTTGGAATAAGGTGCACAAAAATTTAAAAATTAAAATGGTGCCAGCTTAAAACGAACACTGAAAACACTTCTAAATTGTTCACCACCAGTCGTCGACCAAAGTTTCTGACGGCACTTTCGCGATCGAGGGACACACTGGTTTCTGGTATGTCGTCGGTAAGAAGATGAAAGAGCAAATGACTTTCCACAAGTATCACACTTATTGCCAACAAATTTAGATTTGAAGAAATCTCAGCAGGTTTTTTATAAAATGTTGCCTACTTTAAAATTCTGTTTTGCTAATCATTGGTCTTTACATCAACAGCTCAATTCCTTCGTTACTTCAGAACGGTAAAGGAGAAATGTCAAAGAATGAAAAAAGGAAAAAATGAAGAGCACAAGCAGAGGTGCAAAATGAGCAGACGTCTCACAAGTGTAAGCATGAGGAAGTTTTTTTTGCCAAACGTCTGAACATGGTCAAATATAAAAACTTTTTTTTGATAATTATAGATGCAGTGGTATCCCATTAATAGGGACACCTGTATGTACTGGACAGTTTTTCATGTCCTCATGAAAAACAATGTATAATATGTTTATAATATGCATAATATGTTTATACCCGATTTTTCTCAAACTTGGCAGAAAGGTGCTTCAGAAGCAGTCCTCTCAGCCTGTATTACTAATTTACCAAAAAGTAATATGATACCTTCATCGACGGTTACTTTACGTGCCAATTGCGTTGGTTGTGTTCTGAAGCAAATTCCCACCCCTAAAGAAACAGAAAGTCAGAAAACAACAGTGGCTATGAATAGATGAGATACCATTGGTTAGTTTTACGCTTGGAATCCAAGCCAAAATTTATCCCTGTCTGAGGTAGATTCGATCGAGTTTTGGTTTGCAATTGCAACACCATTCTCCTATACTTTTTAGCACAAATAGTTGCACTTGTGGAGTGGTTCGAACCGCGATGAAGAAAATCAACATTATAAGTTTGCATTTAGTTGAAAAATATTGCAAATTACACAAGGCAAGTGGTGGGAATTTTAAAATCTCGCAACCAAGTGTGGAGTCCCTTCTGCCACCTTGACACTCGAGTGCCTGGTTTATCAAAGAAAGCCGCTGTTGTCATGGCTCAAAGTAAGCCAATGGGGATTTGAGTAAACGTTTATGTGGCAAGGGCACAAAGTTGCAGGACAAAAACAGACTTCAAGAACTCGACAGAGATAATTTGAAGGCTTAACCATTACCAAATCCTAAACAGCTCATTGTAAGATTGAGGACGGGGAAACTTGGTATGATTAATGATGGAATTCTTCCCTTTTTCGGTTTTCCTGATGTTAATTTTGTACACCAAACCAAACAGCCATAAAATCTACTAGCAAACACATTTATTCCAAACTGAATGGCCCATTTGAACGCATTTTTAAAGTAAGCTTTGCTAAAGCACAAACGAAAGTAAAGGAACTTAAACTTCAGAAAACAAAGATCTAGAGAAAGCTCGTCAAGAAAAAAATAAAATTCAGGATCAGTGGGTTAAGAGAGACTGTGATGTGATGCTGAGAACAAGGCAGTCGTTGACCCAGAGGTTGAGATCTCCAAAGAGGCATCACTGAGGACTCAGAAACGTAAGAACTAGGAAAACCTTGCAGAAAGAAAACCCAAGTGCCATTCACCATCACCAGCTTCAGTCTCCTTTGAGAGGGAAAACCTCCCACAAGAGTACAAAATATGGAAGACAGTGAAAGGGGAGTGAATTATTTCAAACAACAGTATCTAACTGTCCCTAGACAAAAGCATCAGGTTCAAGGGCACATCTAGGGGTGGCCTGGGTTGAGGGGGTTGCAGCCAACCCCACCCTTTTCCCTACATGCACACATTTATGTGCATGCATAGACATACCCTACCCCTGTGAGAAGTTCAAACATAGATGCTTTATTTCTACAATCCACACTATTATAATTTTCTCATGAATGATACCTTGAGGACCCTCAAAAGCTAATAACTTTAGGAGTTCTTATTCACAACCCCCTCCCCCACTTCAGCTAAGCATACCACATGGCATGGTTCTAAAACTTCTATTATATTTTTGGGCCTCATAGCTACACAGAAAGTATTATATTTATAAAAGGTAATTTTTTCCATAGATCAATTATTCAGACCTGGCAAGACGACATGGCCTCGCAGATAAAAAGTTGGGTAACATGATTGTCAAAGAGTACCTGATAGAACAGGGGGTGAACCTGCAACGCTATCAGCAGTTCCACAAAAGGCCGGCAAAGCCAAGACGGAGGCTGAATAAAATGCTTGGAGGGTAGATCACTGTTCCAACACCTAGAACAAACAGAGAAATCAAAGAAACACTCACAGTAAGTCACCCATTTTTAAACACAAAGATCATCGAATAAGATATGTATAAAAGTCAACACCATTAGCAACATTGAAGATTAACAAAAAAACAACTTAAATTCAGGGATTGAATTATTTAACTCAAGTATACAGTCATGTACCAAGAGAAGCCCCTCCCTCCAGAGAATTAAGTTGCAACAAAATATAAGTTATTTATGTTTAAATTTAATTTGTTTTCCCATTTATTTTAGGTCAACCTTGAAGCAGTAGAGTACCGTATACAATTGGTGAGTTGGTGGTGCCCAAGCAACACAAGAAACTAATCCTAAACAGTGATGGAAGTACTTTCCACAGTTTCTGGAAGGAAAATACCTTTAGCAGAAAACACAAAAAGGGATCTGGAAAGGTGTGAACAGCTTGGGATAGGGAGAGGACATACGGACCAGGAGTATGAGCAGATGAGCCATGAGCAGATAACAGAACGGCTCAAAGTGTTAGGGAATGATGAGAACCATCTGCGAGACAGTCCAGAGCAGAGAAAAGAACAACCGATGAGGTTTGAGAGAACCAGACACGTGATGGTATGGGGGGGAGGGTGGTTCAACAATATTAAACCATAGCTACCTCCTATATCTCATTCAGTGTGTGTATGATCCAGCCTTTTCTTAAACAGCTGCAGAAATGAAGGACAGGGGATATGGTGTCATTGATGTTCCTGCACTAGTTGAGAAGCCCCACATATACATCCTTGGGAGGTGCATTGGGAAAGAAGTCGAGCAGTTGGGTTACAGTGAGACAAGATGCCAATGTTTGAATGAGCTGCAAAACAACCTGCTGACAAGTAAGGGATGCTCAGTGACAGACATCATGCACTTCCTCCATACCAGTGAGCCAGAGCAGCAATTTGAAAGTGGTGAGCAACGGGGACTCACACAGATATCATGACCTTACATACTGCTTAAGGTCCCCACATCTATCCCTCGCAGATCGCATTAAAATAGTTAGGGCTGGACCAGCTGGAGAGGGAAAACAAATAGAGGAATCAAGCCCTTCAAAAGCATGACTGTGGCAGAGCTGAGAGCTGAATGTTTAGCACGAGCATTGAATGATGAAGGATTAAAGAAAGATCTGCAGCAAAATCTAAAGGAACAGCTTAAGGGTGTACAGAGAGTGCAGCATAGCTGATCAATGAGCAGGATAAGAGCACGGAAGAGATCGACTTACGTACAGAATCTTTAACAAATGATATTTTTTCAATACTTGCAGTTCATTTATATGTAATAAAAAGGCTTAACAGAAGTAACAATTTGACGTTAATGTGGTACACAGGCATGCATTTATTTAAATAAAGCCAAATATATTAACTTAATACAAAATTTCCATCATGCGTAAGCGCATACAATTGAATCACTTTGTAAGCAAACCCTACAATGTACATGTACATCTAATACAAAACATAAACACTCATCTGAATTGAAAATATGCCAGTCTTTTATTTGCTTTTCTTATTGCTGTTTTTTTACGCATGTATGAAGTCCTGCCTACAGAGCCATTGCACTATATCAAAGAACACATTTCCAATGTTGTCACTGAAATTGTTGCTCACCTTTCTGATGAAGAGAAGGCATTATGTGAAAAAGCAGTTGAGGTAGTGGCATGAACAAAAGACCAACTTCGTGGTTCAGACTACCGAGAGATGTCTATAGTGCTTGCCAAACAACTAAAAGGTAACATTTAAGGATCTGACATTTTTTTTACAAAAAGGCAATATATTATCATACTGTTGTTGCAGCTGATCTCACACCGCTATGAAACATGCTTTTAGCCAGATTTAGATGTGAGAAAAACACTTAGAGTACCCAAGAACTTAAGTTTTGCATGAAACGTAAGGTTAATTTACAATGTGCATGTGCAGTTTAATAGACTGATGTAATAGATTTAAATAAATTTCAAAATTTTGTGAATCTGCAGGGCCATCCAATAGGGCCATTTCTCACTGAAAGAATGACACTAACCTGTGGCTACTTAATCCTAATTCCCAAGCCACATTTAAAAGTTAAAGGCATCTCTGATTGGTCTTAGTCTGCATAAATAAGGTAGCCATATAAAAAAATCAGGTACTTAAAATGAGCATGGCATGGCAATCTGTTGACGTTGATTGTCCACTTGTAACTGTATGTATTGTTTTAACTGTTTAATGTGGAAGATTTGTGAGTGATAAAGCGCAGACCCTTCTGGATACCTTGACAGAATTATCCGGGATTCTTTATGCAAGACCAGAGGAGCGCTGCACAAGAGGCATCCTAAGAGTTCACAATCAGACCTTTCTCCATGCCATTGTGTGCGAAGAAGTCATTGGAAAGCCTCAGATCCTCTCAGAGAAAACGTTTTATTGGTGATACCTACACTCTTTGGTTGTACATGCTCCTATCCAACATCGTATTATCTGCTGCAGGTCAACCAATACTGAACAACAAGAACGTCACTTCAATTCACTTTTAAGCATCTCTACATCAACATCAAGTAGACGACCTGGAGAGATAACCCCTGGCATCATAAGGATGCAAGCTGAGGTGAAGGCAGAGAACAACCAAAGAGACACATTAAAAGAGCAACAGTCCAGACTTGGAACTTAGCACACTGCTTGCCTCCAGCACAGAACACCATTGTCACACACAGAGTGATCCTGAAGTATCAACATGCCTACCAAACACACCTGGAAAAAATCGCAGACTTCCTCCTCTGCGGTGAACGAACTTGAAGGAGGCATGTTCTGAGTGGCATTGAATTTTTTGATGTCAGTACAACAGTTGAAGCTCAACCAGGAGCTGACACTTTCCCACCTTTACACCATTTTTGCAACCACACACTGAAGTCAGACACCATATACCTGCTAGACAACTGGAAGAAGTGTGTGGCATCAGCAGGGGTTAAAATACCCATCATACAATCAGTGTTTGATGAAAGTGGTAACCTCAACCAAATCATTCACTCTGGCTTCTCACAAGATGATGATGACGTTGACAATGATAATGAGCCCGAAAATAATCGTGATGATTGTAATGAAATTGAATGCAGGAGTGAATATTATGATGAAGGAGATAGTGATGAAGAAGAGGAAACCTTAGCTGCTGTTGAATAAGTGGGAGAACATCTTTTGGACCAGGATGATCAGAAGTGGGAGCAGCAGTTGAAAGAGGACAGCACTGAGGACAGGACAGCACAGCTTAAAGAGCCTCCAACACAGGGTCCGCAGGAGATGTGTTTGTTGTTAGAACATCAAAACCTGTCAAACACCTGAAAAAATGGTTTATTTTGATCGCGTTACAGTTTTGTTGCACATTCTATAGACCGCAAACCATGAGACTGAGGGCTTGTAAGATTGGCCTACAGTATAAAATACAGAAAGGGAGGAAACAAATTTGGGGCTTATTTTCAAATCGCTGAAACTCATTTGGAATTTAATGAAATCGCCTGATTTTACTAACCTGATCTAGAATTCTTATGTATTTGCCAAATACTGCAGGAGAACAGCATAAAAGTGTTCAAATTCATTTTCAGCGACCGAAATTTACGGCTTTGAGATAGTGCTTTTGTTTGCTGTGCACTGCAACAGATGATGATGGAAATGACGTAGTAAAGTAAATGCGCTTAAGATCAGAGCAATAAAAGGGGATGGTAAGCCTACAGGACTTTTACCTCATGCCAAAATGCTGCTCATTCCAATAAAGTTTATTTCCTCTGCTGGGTAGATTATGCTCTGGAGGGTTCTACATTTTCACTGAGCAAATGTGATTTTAGCCGCATGTTTCACACTGAGAGGTCATGACAGATATCGATTTACTGTGGTTATTGTTTCTGATCAGCAGGATTTGCCCTCTGATGCAAGCGCATTTTCTTTGACCTCTTTTGACACGTGAAGCTTTTTATTACCGCTGAATAAGGGTTCCAGTTTTCTCCAAAGTGCCTTCTGGATCTGAATAACTAAGCGATTTTCTTTAGTCCATGAATGTAACCTTTTTCTGCAATACCATATCACGCTAGGCCCAGCTCATTAGTTTTGTTTGGAGAATGTTAAATTATTACGGATAGTGATTTACAGGTCGTGTGTACTCTAGCAATAAAACGTGACACTGAATAGAGCGGACATATAAGGCAACTGTAATATCATCATGACTGCGCCTTTCTTCGGTGGTCCCAACAGTGTTATCTCTTGCATCTTTGGCTGTGCATTTTGATACTACTGGGAAGCCTTTGCACAAGCAAAACCTGCTTAAGATATCAAAGACTGTTGACATGTACAACAAATGTCCAGTCTTGAAAGATGTTCACTTCAATTAAAACTGTTGCCTTCGCATAGATCGCTTAAATCATAAAAAACACTCTCCACAGCTGATGTTTTGATTCTCAAATTAGCAGCGATCTGATGCTTTTGTGTTTCTGGTCTCATTCACTTCCATCACCGAGTGATGGGGTTCACAGCAAACTAAGTCACGTGGTACAAGTTTCCTCCCTTGTCCATTGTTTTTCAAAATGGCGAACAACAAAGTCGATCTGGGCGAAGAAATCGTTTACAGCAGATTCACAAAGATCCCATTGGGCTAATTAATCATGCTAAGCGACAGGTATAGACATTTTTCAAGGTGAGACTTAAAATAAGTAATTCATTTATTCACACCAAACTCCTCTGGACCCTGTGCCTCCAACAGCAGTAGCCCATGAGACAAATGACTGCGGCGATGGACAAAATTTGTCCACATCTTCCCTGTCCTCTGCTTTGGCTAAGAATGTGGCCAAAATCATTGGCGAGACACAAGATGTAAGGAAACTTAACAAGTACAGAAAGAAGCTCCGAAACAGCCCCAACAGTAAGGTTCTTCAACAAGACTACAAAATACATTTAGCTCATGTGCAGACAAAAGTCCTTGGAAAGCACTCGCAAGTGGCAAAGCGTTTCAACAAATGGGAAAAACAATTCACATCGACAAACATTTACCGCTCCATCGACATTTTATTCCAGGTCATTCATCAGTTTCAAACCTGATGTGTCTCCTGCGGAATTTGAACTTCAAGTTGACAGATTTTTTTCTAGACAAATCGAAATGCGCATCTTGAAATGAACACACGGTCATCAATGTAAGTTAAACTATTTTACATCCATAAAATGGACGTGGTTTTGTTTCCTCTAGTTTCCATTGATTTAAAAATGAAAGTGTTAACAAATATTTGTGAGCTATCACATATTCATTGGTTCTTTAATATGAGGCTACAAAGACGAGAATTCTGCCTGTTCAAAGAGCATATTAAGCTTAAGATTTATTGAAAATAAATTTTATCAATTTTGTACATCTTATAATAATGCATCTATGAAATAAGTCCATGGAAAAAGAGATGAGGGTGAAGGAAGAGGAGTTACAGATTAAGTGGAAATTGCAACAGGTCCAAAAGAAGGCAATTTACTAAGGGGTGGGGTGGCTTTGCAAATAAGATTGGCGAGTTATTCTTTGTTCTTTGGCAGTGGCTTGCCGTTAATTATTTGTTAAGAAAATAATCTACAATACAATATTGAGTTTATTAGACCATGTATTAACATGAATAAGAAATTTTTTTCTCACTTTATAGAAACAATGACATTTCGCATTCAGCAACCAGAGCATCGTCAAGCTGAAAAGTCATCTTGAGAAAGTCACGTGTCCCAAGACTTTGAGATATTACGCAAGGGCCCATATTACGTCCGATGAGGCCTTTCAGAACGAGATAGGCTCGATCAGAAAGAAAGCAAACAGGCTCTCATAGGAGTGCTGGTGAAATATCACCACAAGCACACAGAGTGATTAACAAACAAGCTTCATAAACTCAAACAGTATAAATCTCGCAGGAATACTGTAACTAAGCAGATGTCTCACCAGAAAACGCAATCACCGGCTAGAAGGAAAACTGTCAACAAAGATGACAATGTAAATGAGCTAGCTGAAGACCAAGATTAGTGAAGTCGATGTATTGTTAGAACAAATGAGATCACAAGTGTGTGCGAATACACAAAGTGAATCTTACTCTTGTCTCTTATCAGACTCCTTAGAAGTAAGGGGAAAAGGGAAAGAAAACCACAGAGATAACAAAGTGGCCAAAAACAGCAAAGGAAAGGAGCGGAGAAAGACAAAAAGCGCTTTTGTAAAACCATTGAGACATGCAAACAGTATATAAAAAACCTGTTAAATGAACAACTGACAGATGAGCAAATTACTCTACTATCACATGGTCTAAAGTTTATCCCTACAGCCGTGACAAAAGAAAATCTCATGAGGCGCCAGCTTCTCACAGATATCAATCAATTTGCAAGAAGAATGCGACTACAATATATTTTTCACGGGGAAGAAAAAAAACCTCATCCTTTCCACGTTAAGTCAGACTGGGATCCAGTAGTCCAGCCATCTGTAGCTCTGGAGACCCTCCTAGAGGAGGTAAAATTAGCGCTCACAAGTACTGAATTTGACAACCCCAAAGATCATATATCTACCGGAGAGTGCCAAGCTCTCAAAAAGTTATTGTGCAACAAAAGCATCATTCTTAAGAAATCTGATTAAGGTAACACCAGTGTATTGATGAGCAGACAAGACAAACTAAACGAGGGTCAGGTTCTGCAAACAACTACCGACCTCTAGACAAACCAACTGTTGAAACTACAACCAAAAAAGCTCAACAACTTATTAAAATACTGCTCTCAGATGGCCACATTGATAAAACAATGGCTAAATGGCTCTCCCTTACACCTGATCCTCCGCGAATCCCTGTGTTTTACACACTTAGGCCCGGTTCAGACGCCACTCCACTCATGTGCCGAACCTAACTGAGGTATTAAGTACGGCAAAAGAGCGGCGTCTGAATCAGTTTGGTACAGCAAAAACGTTAAGTTTGACAGGGTCTGTCGCATTATTCAACATTGGAGCAACAGGTGATTCAAACGGTGATCTTCTCATGAGCCGAATTAAATGCATACATTATGATAATTTATGAATCTTCCCCTAAATCCCTCGGAGAACTTGTTACGCATGCTCGTACGTTTTACGAAGAAGAGAAAATGGCGGCAAAAGACGGGGAGAACTGTAAACAGTACAAAAGATGGACCAAATATCGCTGCAAAGTAGCCATTTGCAACTTATGTAGCAAGCAAGTGATGGATGAAAGCGTGGACGGGTGGATAGGTGGAAAGAATGTCCGCCACTGTTTTGAGTGCGAAACAGTAAGGCCTGTAACCGAGTCACTGATCGCAAGTAGGCACAGTTAAGAAGTTGAAGAAAGGAAGATGTGGCAGATGAAGTCCACAGTGAAAAGGAAAGGTAATCTTTCGCTGATAAAAGTGATAATCAGCAAGAAGCTGTCACGAACCAGAAATGTAAACACCGATGTAGTTATGTTTGCAGTTTATCTCATGCGTGACCGATTCTCTTTTCCAACACAACAAAATCATCGCCGAAGGAATTCCAGCATTCAAGGTTTCCCTTGTTGCTTTAAAGTAAGCATAGGTGCAAGTTAGGTGATAAAAATTGATCAACAGAAGGGTATAATTAAAAAATTTGAAACTGCAAATTGCTTGTGTTAATGTTTGTATTTATCCCTCTGTGGAAGGTGAATAATAGTGGCCATGTGGTGGTTCAATTTTTTCCTTTGTTTTGGGGTATGGTAATGTATGATAATGAGTTTGAACCAAAGGAAAGTAAAATTTAACCCATGAATAAAATTGAACCACAACAGCCATAATGTTAACTTGGATTACAGTGACGTGAATTACTTGTTTGGCATGTGCCCTGGAAGCAGTCATGTGGCATTTCTTATTAGAGAAGTGTACATTTTTTGTACATCTAGTATCAGTGCCAGCATCCAGGGAACAACAACTTTGAATCCATTTACTTGTCATCACTTTGGTTTGTGATTTTCCCACTATAATCGGAAATTTATGTTGTTATTTGGGTTTCAAATTTATTTTTCTTTGTTTTCAGCTCATTATCATACGTTACCATACACAAAAACAAAAGAAAAGAAAATCTAAACCAATGATAAAATGGTAACACAACATACATTTAAGTCTAAGTTAATGAGTGATCTAGTTCATCTATACTGGATTCTGGTAGAAAACTTTATTTCAATGTTTAATACTAGAAACGTGAGTGTCTTGCAGGACCTCTGGGAAGTCAGGGAAATGCAGGGCACTGAAGATTTCAGTTGAAGACACAAATTAGTCGTAGAATGTCTTTGATATTTTTATTTTATGCTTATTGCTTAGCACAGATTCATTAGCCCTATATTTATGAATCTACTTTGAAAGGATTTCTGGCTGCGTATTGTCATGTGTATGGCATTGTTCCATCAACAATGTTCATTATGTATAATAGGTGGTCTCCAAATTTTAAAAGAAAAAAAAAGAGAGAAAAATGTGAAGAGAGACTTTGGTCAGATAAAAAAAGAAAGAAAAAATAGCAAAGCTAGAATTTGGTGGATTTGATCCAAGTACCTCTAGCTTGCAACGGTCTAGAGTTCTAACTGCTAGGCCACAAAGGCTGCATGTATGCCTCTCTTTTGCCTGTGTGTGATCCCCAAGCTTGATAGAGTCTTCGCAACTTCGATTCGTGAGAGTTTAAATTCAAGCAGGGTTCCTTTTGAATGGTTTCAATTTTAATAGATGATTTTTACAATAATCACAGCAATAAAAAATATGACCTCTAGGCAAACAAATACAAGTGCAACTTTTGAAGCAATTTTTTTGGTTTTCATGGGTTTATATTAAGACATGTGAGAATTTAGTGCCCCAATATTTAAAACTTTTGTTTATTTTCCTCAGTGCTGTTGATAGTGATGATGATGAAGATGATGAGGATGAAAGTCTCAACTTGGGCCTGTTTGAAAAAAAGAAGAAAAGCCAAAAATGTTCCAAGAATAAAAGTGGAAGGAAGGCCAAATGGAGTCAAAGTCTATTAGGGGATTTGGTGGACATTGTAATATCTAATGATTATTACAAGAATAAATTGATACTTACCAACACTAAAAACCAGAAAAATGGAGAAATATACAAAAAGGTTCTGGTCGAACTTAAGGAAAGGGCTGCTGTGAGAAATGAAGAAGTTCCATTTGATCATGTTCAGTTGCAAACAAAGTTCAAGAAAGCCATTGCTGAATGCAAGAAGAATTCTCTCACCATGAAGACTAGCACAGGAATAGAGATTTATTGACAAAAAAGGCTATGGTCCATGGTTTAACAGCCTATTTGCCATTTTCAAAACTCGGAATGCACGCAGACCTGAACTTGCAGTAGAGCCTTCATTTACCAGATTCAGAAGCTAGTGCTCCTGAAGCATCACCTGGCACATCCTCATCTGAAAGCAAAGAGAGAGTTGTGGCTCCAAGGAGAAGGAAGAGACAGACAGATGAGTCTTTACATGAAGTAACTGACGTAATCAAGACTGCCATCAACAATGATCCAGTGAAAGAAGTCCTTTCGTACATGAGTGATCAGGCTCAAAAGTCTCGTGAACCTGAACTAAACACGCTACAGATGCTTCTGCAAGCTATGCCCACACAGCAAGTTCAACCAACCCTACAAGAAAGAGGTACAGCAGAGGCCAACTTACATGGACTAATTGGAAGTGACAGTAGGCAGTAGGGTAATCAGATGTCAAGTTCTGTTCATCCTGGAGACTTAAACTACCAAAAGTTTGGGTTTTCTTGAAGTTTCCACCAACTATGGTCTTGTTGAGTTTATTGACTTTTAAATGAAGGGTTGAAAGTGAAGCAGGTGTACACTTATGTAATTACTTGATGTTGAAATGCTAATTAACCCTTTAAGCCCTAGGAGTGATCAGCATCAATGTCTCCTTATCATAGCAATGCTTTGTAAAACAGAGTGGTCATGACAATTAAGGACATGATCACACAAGACGGGCTTGCTTGATATTTTATCAACTTCTCCACATTCTATAGGAAATAAATAGGGGCAATAAATGAGGATTTAGATTTTGATCTTAGGGCTTAAAGAGATAATTGTATACAAAATTGATATGAATCTGCTGAATTATGGTGTGGACATGTATGTAGTCTTCAATTTCACTCAAAAATATGGGCTAAAAATTTCCTAATTTGGGCAGTGCTCAATTGTTATAGTAAGTCTATTACATATTCCTGTTCATTTTTAGCCCTTGAATTGTACCACTAGAGTGATGCAGCTAATGTTGTACCCGTCAAATACAGGGACTCTTGGCATTCATGGAAAATCCTCAGGCACCAGAAAGCCTTTTTGCTTGTGACTCTTACTAGCATTTGCAACAGGGAAAAACAACATTTTTAAAAGTGTCTTTACCCAGGATCTTGCTTGTTCAGAAACAGAAGTATCTAATCACTATAGTTTGTCTTTGTGCTCTGGTTGACCTTCCCATGACAGTGCTGGTAAAAATTAGTTGGATGGATTAGAGAGAAAATTTTGCCAAAAAGCAGAGGCGCAAGTCCTCGATAAATGTTTTCTACTTGATGTTTGCTTTGTACCTGCAAAGACAGACTGTTTCTTTTGATGTTCACTTAAAATACCATAACAGTTGTGTTAACAAATTTATTCTTAATATTGTAGAAGTTGTATTACCTACAGACTTGACACCTGCTACCTGCTACTTAAAGTACATTGTACAATGCAAGTCCAAGCTACTGACTTAAACTCAACAGTTGTGTCATCATGGGCCCTTCATAATGGATAGTATCACTTCATTAGAAACACTTCGTGCGAAATTTTATCATCAATATAAATAGCAGAATGCATTCAAATGTTGTGTTATGGTGTTGAAATGTGAAACATGACGTACTCCATGGGTCATTTAAAACCCCTTTGAACATTCCATTCTTTCAAGATATAAAGTTCATCTGTTATAAATTGAAGCACGCAGTTTACAGTACTTTGGGTGGGCTAATATTATAAAAGAAGCCTTCCTTGTTACAAAACGTAGTGGAAATAACTGAATGGGCCCATTACAAAACTCCAATAAATGTTGCAAGATATATTTGGTTTAACTCGTTCACTTTAATTCAGAACCTTCTCTTTCCCTCCAAAACATATCTGCTAGCATGCTCCTGATTTGAGTTGCCTGGGAATTGGAGTCTGGTAGCTTTCTACAACAGGTCATCTCTAATGTATCCCTTAATGTGCGACTATCTCTCTTCGCATTTGTAAGTGGGTCGATCAATCAATCAATAAACTTTATTTACACTCGAATTTACAGTGTAGCACTCAAGTGCTAATATCTTCGAGCCAACTACATTAATGAATAATTATAATAAAAAGTTAATTCTATATAACAAATAAGATAACTACCTACCTAGACAACCAACTTGCAAATTATCTTGATGAAGAAAGGTTTGCAGTTCCTGCCCTTTTAAGTAAATTATTGTTCCCAGTGGATATCAGTCCTCGAAAAGAAGTAAAATCAGAAATAGTGCGGTAATGGTCTGGAAGAGAATTCCAAGATGTTGCTGCCAAGTAACTAAAGGAATTGATACCATAAGAAGTGGTCAATGGTCTAGGCAGACAGGGCATATTATGTCCTCTTAAAAAATAGGTGCTAGAGTGTAAGCGAAACATATCTTTTAAATATCTTGGATAATCAGAAAAATGAAGACATTTAAAAATAGTAAGAATCATGTTTTGTAAACGCTTGTCCTTAAATTATTGTACTCAGAGTTAAAATCCTTGAAAATAAATCAAAGAATAAGTTTGTTTAAGAGGTCCAATTTGTCAGAATCTTGTTTACTAGAGAAATGCCACACCATAGAACAATAATAAAAGCGAGGTGGTATAAATGCCTTAAAAAGACAGAGCATGGTTTCAATAGACATCCGTTTGCCAAACCTTAAAATAACGCTAAACTGATTGTTTACCTTTTTACATATAGAAGACACATGTTGCTTAAACGTAAGATCTTTATCAATTGTAACGCCAAAAAGTTCCACTGAGTCATTTATGGAGAAATTAGCTGCTGCAGATGGCATCACCCTTTTCAATGCAGATGTTATGCAAAACCATGCAAGCAAGGGTTGCTGTTTTGACTTAAGAAGGTTCACTCTCGTTTTTCCTCAAAAGTACCCTCCACCTTCCTTTAAGTTGCCCATATGCTCCTGCCGTGACCATCTTAGCACGACTTAACCTGTAATTAAAGTATCTATGCTTCTCTGTGAGTACTGCATTTGTGTAGGGCTTCAATAGCCACGGTTTAAATGGGAATGCTGAATCCCCAATAATGAGTGGACCAATGTTTACATCAGCAACCTTATGTGCAATGTCTGGAATAAAATTGTGTTCATTTAGCTTTTCCCAGACTTCTGTTGCCTGGAAAATGATAGCATCATGGGAGTTGCCAGGGAAACCACAGCTGCCCCAAATAAACCTGTATTTTGAGTCTAACATAGCCATCAATACCACGAAATAGAAGTTCTTGAAATTGTGGTACTCTTTACACGATGCAGCTCCTCCTGGTGGACATTAATAGGTATGTGGCAGCCATCAATATTATTGCAGCCCAACAGAAGGGAAACTGCCACCTTTCGTTCATTTCCTTCATCTTATCTTTAGCATGGCATATGCTTCTTGACACATTCCTCCCAAAGGTTTTCAATGATCGATTGACATACCTGCGTTACAATCTCATGTACAGTTGAACCACCAAATCCAGCCATTTCCGCTATGGTGTAGTAAAAATCACTTCTTTCGAGCCTATAAAGGCAAATGCCTACCCGACATTCGGGTGATATGGGGTCTTCATTTACTGTCTGGCGTTCCAAGTCGTTTCGGATCCGGTTCAGAATAAAACTGAATGTATTCTTCGAAATTCTGAAAGTTTTCTGGAATCGTTCATCGGTATATGTTGTCCAAACCATCTCCCACCAGCCGTTGCTCCTGAGCAGACGCCGGCAAGATCGTACATGAACCATCTCCATGGCTAAATTCTCCTTACGCGAGAGCAACAAAGTCTCTGCCAAGGACAAAAGAAGAGCTATCTGTCGTCTTCTTAATGCAATGAGCATTTGCGCACTTTCGGAAAACATCCTCCTACGTTCATTTTCCCGAGAAATAGCTCTAATCAGAGCTATCCTCTCCTTCACAGCCACCATCTTTGAAAGTTGAATTATGGCACGAAGATATCATATCGGACCCAGGCATTTTTCTTTCTCCCTACTTGAAATAAAGATTAGGTTAGACACACGGTGCGCCGTCTCAATCAGATGTCGCGCCAATGTCGCTCCAAAGTCGAACCAAACTCAGTTAGGTTCGGCATGAGTGGAGCGGCGTCTGAACCGGGCCTTAGTAAAATCCACCAACCAACACCTGTTGGAAGGCCTATTATCTCGGGGTGTTCCGGACCTACAGAACAGATCTCAGCATTTGTTGACCACCTTATTCAGCCAACAGCACAACTACAAGCTTCATATCTTAAAGATATGACAGACTATCAAATTAATCGAGAGGATTAAACTGCCTAAAAGTGCTATAGTTGTTTCAATGGACGTCACAAGCCTATACACAAACATACCACAACGAGAGGGTATTACCACTGTATGCATGCATATGAAGAATTTCACCAAGGAAACCCTCCAGTCCCTACCAGGTTTTTAAGCAAAATGCTTAGTCTGATACTACTAGAAAACCCGTTCCAATTTAACGAGAAAGATTATCTTCAACCCATGGAACAGCCATGGGCACGAAAATGGCCCTAACCTTCGCTAACATCTTCATGGCCAAAATAGAAAAAGAAATACTCAGACAGAGCTGCATTAAGCCCACCTTTTGAAAAAGGTTTATCGATGACATCATATCAGTATGGGACAAAAGCAGAAACGAAATAGAAGAATTCCTTCTAAAGGAACACAACTTCCATCCTACAATCAAATTCACGGCTGAAATATCAGAAACAGACACTACATTCTTGGACACGAAAGTGTACAAAAGGTCAGATTCAACAAGGATTCTATCCTTGACGTGCGAACACACTTCAAGCGTACAGAGACATTCCAATACATGAATTTCTATTTGTGTCACCCACCAGGCATCACAAAAGGCTTCATCAAAGGAGAAGCTTTAAGGCTTCTAAGAGCAAATTCCTCTGAAATCACTTTTGAAGAGAACATGAGGAATAAAAAAAATAAAGAATAGAGAGTACCCAGCTACAACTGTAGAAAAACATCTCTCAGAGATCATTTTCACAGACAGAAAGAAAGCACCAGAACAGAAAAACAAAAAAGGCACGAAAGAAAATACCACCCTTTGTAACGCAATACCACCCTGCATTGCCCAACCTCAAGAACATACTCATGGGGAAATGGCACCTTATTCAGAACCAACCGTACCTGAGAAAAATCTTTAAGGAGCCTCCCCTCATTTAAAGGTTGTAAGACCAATCTATTTGCGAACTGCAGGAGTCATGGAGGCCCATCAACACTTTCAACTCTTATTGTGAAACAAAGAAATCGGATGCAGAGAGCGCCTGGCACTCTAAGTTACTTTACTCTGCAAGAAGGGGTCATGAAACTTGTGTTTTCATAACTTATTTTTGCTGGAGATAAAACTTCAACATGAGACTACTCAGTAAGTTGGGTCATAAATCTCTACAGTGAGTACGATAGGAGAAAGATAAAAAAGAGCACATTTCAGTTTACATGTGTCATTACTCTTTTTATATACATGGTCTGTGATTCATCAGCATTGTTTTCAAGGTCACCAGTATCTGTAGCCCTCTGACATTGTTCGCCTCTCTTACACAATAAAATGTTTGATGTGCAGATCCCACCTTATTTACGTCATTGAGGAATAAAAACGTTGAAACTGTTTATGGGAGGCATTTAATTTAACCAGTGTTTCCAGAAAAAAAAGCAAAACCTAAGGCATCTTGTCATGGAACGATAACCCATGAAACAGCCTGGTCCATTCGATTCATAGCGGACCGCTTGCCGTATTTCATGAGCTGCACTTTTGTTATTTGTCTGTCAAAGATTATATTTAACTGTAATCAGGTATTTTAGTTGTCTTACGGTTATGTGAATGTCGTGGTAAAGGGAAAAAATAAAAAACAACGATGTTTCAACCATTGCAAAAATGTTGAGACACTCCCTCGAAAAAACAACGTTTCTTACTTCAAATCGCTCCTGGTCATTGCTCTGTGAGATATCAAATCAGTGAGGTTTGAAGTCACTTTCATCAAGATCCTGCATTGATCTGCACCGATTCCTGTTTTGTTCACGGATTTGGCCTTTTCTGCTTTTGCCTGGATGGACCTGTCGGACCTGGACAATTTTTTGGACCGAGGGTTTAAGTAAGTGGTAGACATCATAAATTGTGTGGCTCTGTATTATGCAAAAGGTACCAGTGGGAATGCGTTTCTTCCGAAAGAAAAATTTAGAGCTCCCATTTCAAGGCAAGTGAAGACCTTGAAAGTCGTAAAAGAAACAGTCAGGTGAGTCGACCTGAGTTTAAGAGTTCAAGAGAACTCAAGAGAGATCTGAGTTTCAACGACCTCAATATCCTTGTATATACAGTACCCTGGAATATGAATGGACTTTGTGCCCCACGCTACAGTCGTCAAAGGGTAGCAGAGAAGCAAACTTCCTGCTTGGAAGGGTGTCCACATTTGGCCGTGCTATTTGATTCAATAACAGGTTTATGTGTTCATGAAAGAGACCATTTTCTCAGTCTTCACAGCCTGTGTGTTTAAATACATTTTCCTACGCTCCACAAAAACAATTGACAGAATTGGCTTCATCGCCAGATGGAAACTAGCAGCAAAGCAGTTGAATCATTAGAGGATGTTAGCATCAACAACGAGTACGAGTACGAGAACGACCTCAAGCCGTACTCGTAGTCGAAGTCGTTTTCTCAGCTTTCTATGTTAGCGATGACACTGAGTTCGAGTTTATGAGATTCCCCATGACTGGGCGCCAAATTTGAGTCGAGGTAGCGCTTCCACAACAATTTCGAAAACAAAAAATGACTCTAAAAAACGTTCAAGACTGCTTGTTACTCATTTACATGGAAGGTTTTTTGTACGAAGAAGAATTTTGTGCTTTGCGGTCTTAAAACACGCTAAAACCCATCAAATTCAACACAACAACCACACTGGATAAAGAAGTAAGTATTCTTTATTCACATCTTCGACTGTTGGGATATTTTCGACCAAATAATGGCAATTTTCGGGGTTATTTCGTGAGCCTGTGAGGCCTGTGGAGAGACATGAAACTTTCCCGGGTAAATGCAAATTTACTCTGTGTAGGAAATATCGCGTTCGGTTGCTTTTTCTCGACTTCAAAAGCAGTATTTTACATAAAACATAATATAAGGAATGTTCAAGATGATAAAGAGAGGCTAGAAACGAAAAGAAACTGCATTAAACGATCGGAATTTACCTTTGAAAACCAGCTCTTCCCAGTCGTTCTACCCACTTCGAGTTTTTGGTGAGAACTCGTCGTAGTGCAACTTGACAGGACGACTTGAAAACGTGGAGATGCGCAGAACGGATGCGCAGTACGCAAAATCGCTGATCTCGTTCTAGAACTCGTACCCGTTGTCGATGCTAACATCCTCTATTGAGAGACAGATAACATCAATCTACCTAACGCCAAAAATACAGGACTTGCAATATCAAAGTAAAAATGTACCGATGCGCAGATGAAAAAATAAGCAAAACAGAAATATAAAGTTAAGGTCGCTTATCGTGATGTTGAGAACCTTGACCATCAAAACTGACTATTTTTAGAAGGTAAGTCTTATATAACGTCTGTTTCAATAATCAAGCAAAAACTCTTGTAAAAAAATGGGGCGGGATCGGGATTCAGGCGTAAAATAGAGCGGGATGGCAGGATTTGAGAACCCTATTTGTGGACCCTCATGTTAGCCCAGTTATGCTCTGATGACTCCATACAAATCCGTCTAAATTTGACTTGGGTCTAAACGTTTAGACGGAAGTCAAATATGAGGTTACTGACGGTGAATAACAAGTCTAACAAAACAAACAGTGAAAAATACATTCTCTATTTTTCTTAGTCACATCAGGCTTCAAAAACAGCATAGCAGTCTCATGTACTGATTAAAGATAATAATGTAAGGCATGGGTAAGTAGTCAATTATGTTGAGCATGGAATTGGCTAAAACTCAATGTAACGAGTTCAAATGTTTTGAGGATAATTATTCACTATCAGCACGCATGGATGTCGGATTAACACAAGGAAGTTTAATACCAAAGGAACATAGCCTTTACAGAGCTTTAAAACAGCATCCGCCAACACAAACGTGACTTGAACTTAAGTAAAACTTAACAGCCTCTACCAATAATAACAAACTCTCACTTGAACTTTAGATATCTTATGGCTTCTGCCAACTTGTAAACACAGAACTTGAAAATCAACCTTCGTCACAGTTCACGAAACACAACAGGCCAGCTCGTGGAAAAAAACTTAACTCATCAAAAGAACTCGCTTGGAACTTGTATACCGTTTGACATAAGGTTCTAGAAAATACTAAACAGGCGAATAGTTGAAGTATTTCGAGATATTTTATGATTTCAGTGACTAATGCAAATCTGCCGACTCATGCTGAAATGTAAACATGCCCTAATTAATTATTCATGAATAATCCAAAAACAGAGAACGTTCAAGAACGTCACGCAACACATGAAAGCAATTTTACTACGTAACACTCAACAAAGACAAAATATCTTTGTGCAGCATTTTGTAACTTTAAATTCATCATAAAACAGTTCAAAAGGAGGGCTCACTCGTGACATGTTTTTCAACACTCAAAGAGAAACTTTGTGTCTCTGCACGGCCACATAATATCCTCTATTTATTCCTTGAGTAAATTGAAGACTAAACTCGAAGTAGTCCAGTCTCATTTCGTGAAATAGCCGAAACAAGCCAAAAAGTCACTAACTTGCACGCCCAATCTTCTCCCGAAACTAGTGCATCATTTCACAACTATTTTTCACATCCCGAACTACCTTGGGTCGCAGTAGCGCAATCGGCTAATCCCTCAACTTAGGGTCTCCTCTGATCTGACGGGTCACACAGGTGAGTTAGTTCAGCTGTCGGTTCAAACCCCGGGAAAGCCAAAATAATAATTCTTTCTTCCTCGAAAAAGTTAAAGAATGAATCAAAGAAATCAAGTGATATCGAGATATCTCAAACTAATTCGGCTCTCACTTTGTCAAATAGCCAAATAAAACCGAAAACTTACAGACTTTACGTGCCCAATTTTGTCAAAAAAGTCAACTTTGAGCATCGCGAATCCTTTACTTCGTGCTCTGCTGAAGTAACAAAGATGCCAATCAGTAGCTACTTTGCTGAACGTGCCACCATTAGCCAATTGTGCATGCAGAAGTCTATGTGCCAGTGACAATGTGGAAGGAGCTGGGAATTTTATGGCTGGCAATTGGCATGCCAACTGGTACGTACCTTGAGTTAAAATGTCTTTACATGATACCTTCCTAATCTGCGGAGGTAAGCGTGACTCTTGAACAAGTCGCGAACTATAGGGGTGTTTAATCCATTAGTCAGAACAGACTGGCCAGACCCCTTTTCTTTTTATTTATAGTTCCCTTAAGACACCTTATTTTAATTTCTATGTACGTCAAAATAGCTTTTGCACCACAGATCTTTCGAAAACACCCCAAATTAACTAGTCATGGCCAGAAATCTCCCACATCAAACTTCATGCTACTTACATTCAAGCTGTCATGCAATAGTTTTAACTGCTGGTCAACCATATAACCAGTAAATGTGGGACATGACCGATAACTTTAAATTTGTCAGTTAAGTTAATGGATACAGTTCAACTGCTTGTCCTGTTTCCACATCATCAGAACTTTCTCTTATGACTGCCACTGCATTTGGATCCTTTATATCTTTAGGGTCATGCGTGAGTCTATAAACGTCTCCCAATCTTGGTTCCCACTCAGTCATATACTCATGATATCCCCCTATTAAAGAGTATACCTAAACAATTTCCAGCGACATTTTAGCTATTCAGGTCACCTTTGATTTGATCTGATACCTTCAGAAAATTTTCACTCATGAACAGACCAGAAGTTAAAATGAAATTGCACTCGTTATGACTTGCACTATGATAGACCAATAGGAATTAAGCGCCATGAAATCACTCCTGAAAACGTACAGATATTTATTGAACTGAAGATAGACTTCATGGTCTGATCACTACCTAAATTTCTTACGTGAACTAAAAGTGTAGAAAAGAATATCTTCTGTGGGATTTTGTCACAGCTACAAAGCCAAAACTAATTATATTTGTTTAATTTCTCAAACACCTGTGTGCACCCGACTAGATTGCTCTGTACTGGAATTCTGGGCACTGCGTATCTTTGTGTTTGTTGTGTTACACCAACAGCAAGTTTAAAGCAAATTGTGATTCAGAGCTACAAGATGTAGAAGTGACCACACAACAGGCCAGCAACATCCAAAAGCACAAAAAAGATCTCCACAAAACTTCAATGTCACAGGAAACAGCAAGAGTTTACAACAAAACTACGCCAGGAAACACCCCAAGGAAGGTTACTGCAAAGTCGCTGAAAAATTTGGCATTGGTAGAACCCAGGCTCAAAAAATCCTGAAAGACAGAGAGGAGATCCTTGCTCAATACGAAAGTGACATGCAGTTGACCAAAAAGAGGTTCTGTACGGCAAAATACTCAGATGTCAATGAAGCATGGTGGAAGTAGTATACTGTCTGCAGGGAATTCAACATCTCTGTTGATGGTACAATGCTACAGGAGAAAGCATTCCTAATTGTAGAAAAGTTAGGAATAACTGGTTTTACCGCTTCAAATGGCTGGCTGAAATGTTTTAAGCAGCATTACAATCTGCAAAGGATGGTTACAGCCTTCCTGTAATGCGGACATGTTTATCTCTGCGGAATGCCGCATAGAGGTATGTATGGGGTACATACATGATTCCAATCCCAACTGGAGAAAAGATGTGCAAGAAGAAATCCTTAACGAAGATGACATTGTCTGTCCCATCCAATAAAGGAGACATTGAGGCGGGAAAAAAGATAACGATTAGCTTGATCCAGAACTTAAACAATCTGTAATTAAGACGGTGTCAAATGCAGAGGACATAGCTGAACAGCTGAAAGACTTTGCACAGTTTGTTGGTCACTAAGAACTCTCACTGGCGCTAAGCAAAGTCAGTGACTTGCCTCACCAAAATAAGCTACACAAGCCCAAATCACAGACGACCATCACTGAGTTTTTTTCTTCATGTTGAATGAGAATGTAAAATTGTTTGATTGACTGTAAAGACGTTTGCCCTACAAACGACTGTAAAATTTGTTGTTTAGGCGTGAACTCCACAGAAGAGCAGAACATCTAAATACTTTATCATATTGCGCATTACTGTTGTTGTGAAAAAGAAAGTGGTCACTTGGCTAATTCCCGAGTGACCACTTACTAGAGGTGTGATTGTAGTTACATTGAAAGTATCAACTACATTAACTAAGAAGGCCAACAGGCATATTTTTAATATTAATTTAACTTTGCTTAAACTAGTTAATGGGGAAGTTGATTCTAACAACACCTCCAGTGTGGAGTATTATCACTATGCCATAACATCAGAAAAGAACATTTAGTCACATAGTCTATGTAACACTACGGCCACGATCACAAAGTTGTCAGACAAGCACATCTTTTCGTCTGGATTTTCACTGTTAATTGAACTTTTCGATTTCCAAATTTCAAACCAATGCCAAATAAAGACTACAACATTTCTTTCATCCCAGAAAGGGATTTACAAGGCCACTGCCACCAAATAATACCAATCAATCAGACAGCTGCCTGGTTAGGTCAGTTGGGAGAGCGCCGGTCTGCTGAGCGGGAGGTCACGGGTTCAAACCCCAGCCGGACCAACACTAAGGGTCTTTAATAACTGAGGAGAAAGTGCTGCCTTTGTAATGACACCTGCAAATGGTTAGACTTCCCAGTCTTCACAGATAAGGACAAAAGACCGTTGGCCCCGTCTCACAGCACTTACACTTATCAGGTTCTTGTGGGATATAAAAGAAACCACATCACTGTTCTAAAAGAGTAGGGAACATACACCCAGGTGGTGTTGCCAACCTTCACACATCAGTCACATCATGGGTTGGGTGGGTGCAGAAAGCTAAAAAATGGACTGAGAGCGGCTGCCAGTGGCGCCTTTGTATGCTGACATCTGAGCATATTGTTCACATGTTAACATCCATGACTCGTCCTTCTTTCCACACAGCTAGTGCCCATCATGGTTGTCTATTCTAAACCAGACACTATTATCTTTTAATATTTCCAAACTCACAGCTAGCTGCCTAGTTAGTTGGGAGAGTGGCAACCTCCTGAATGGTAAACACCGGCCAGACAAAAAATCTGAAGAGAAAATGCTGTATTTGCAATGACAACTAAAATGATTATGTACTTTCTAGTTTTCTTGGATAAGGACCAGAATCCATAGGTTCCGTCTTTATCTGATTATTTTTAGTTGAAAGAAGCCCCACCACTGTTCAAGAAGAGTAAAGGATGTACCCCCTGTACTGTGGGCAATCACACTTGGGCAGGGTCGATTATCTGTGAAGACAAACTTAAACTGGAGCACTACTGTGTTAAGTGATATGTAGCATTGTTAGTGGAAGAGGTTAACTTAACAAAAAGTGAGTAAATAAATATGAATCCACACTACAGTTTGTCTATAACATATCTTTATCAGCAGCCCATTTTGTTCTTTACCTACTTCTTATGAACCACATCATAATACATCGCTATTAATAATTATGATCCTTTGATTTTCTATTACCATTTGCTGGGAATGCCAACTTTGACTAGCAACAGCTTTGCCACTCATTGTGGACAAGAACAATGTGGATAAAGGCATGGCTTGGCGAAGTCCAAATAACAAGCCTTAGTAAATAGAGATGAGTTTAGTATAGCCAATAGTGCCGAGACAACACCCTTGTAATGGCAGGATATTGTAAATCAGAAGTCAGATATCAGAAGTACTGATGTCGTCTTCTTTGTCCCGGTCTTGTGAAACCATTACTCAGATACTCAGACAGTTTCAACAGAAGCTGGTATAGGAGGCTTTTTCCATACTCCAAGAACATCTTTCCTTTTTAGTACGAGGCCTTCAAGACACAATTCTTGCTCGCGTTTTATTTTCAATCCAGGAAAGAACGCAAGAGCCTCACTTTAGAGCCTTTTTGAATTCCTCTGTCCATAAAAGTACCACATGTAATCAAAACATCTACGAAAGATCTTTCAATACCTTCTCCTTTTCGTTCACTTTGCTTGTAGTTACTTCCAGTCTGTGATGTTAGAGGGTATTGAGTGTGATCCAATCACTGCCACATCCAGATTTTCTATACGTTACAGTTCACTGTGTGGTTTTAAGTCAGGCTTTCCTTTCTCTCTCCCCCTCACTCCCCATCTTGAATCTCCTCTCCCCTAGCCCCCATTAGGCAGCAGCCTTCGTATCGTATCTCTTTTTCTCTCATATTAGCTCCTTTGGAGCTAAAAAAAATACCCTATTTTCTCTCAGAAGGGGTTCGAATGTCTGTACCTTAATTATATAAACAAAACTATTTAAGACACCCATTTTACTACAGACAAGTAGCTGTAGATGTTAAAAGCGCGAACCACTCACTTTCTAGCATTAAGAGAAGGATTTTAGAGGTTAAGGTTGGGGGGTTTCCATGATTTATGGTTTTATTCCATTTGGTTTTTGTGGCAAGATATCAACTTGGAAATTCGTCCTCTCTCCTGCCCCAGTTGAAATATTTATTTATTTTATTTTACTTTTTTCTCTATCTAACATAGTTTATATTTGTTGTGTACATAATAATTCATAACATGCAACAAATGAAAAAATGATAAAGACAGATAAAGAAATGCAAAGGAAAAGTGTCTTATTTTGAAAAGAGCAAGTAAAACAAGCAATGTCTTACACGTGTAGTTGTTAATCCGAGTTTTCGTTTCAATATCACATTTTTTGTGTTCCCTTTGCACAGAATATCATTAAAATTGTTGTCAAAAAGGAAATTTCCAACTGCAGTTTTCACCAAGGAGCCCAAGGGACAAGAAAGGTCAAGGAACCCATTGTCATCGTGGGGTCACAGGTTCCACAGCCATTTCTACAACCATGACATGGCAAACAACTGAACCTTCTGTGGTGGATGCACCACGACATAGCCATGATCCATTGGTAATGCGAGAGTCAGACCTATCCACACCAATCATTGGTTACGACATTATTATGACAACAGTTGTATCTATGTAGATCTGTTTGCTTTGTATCAGGAAACAAAGCAACAGGCTGAACATTAAATATAACTCCAAAGCACAATTTAGTAAATTTTGACACATAAAACCAAACTGCAGGAGAAATGTAACAGGTATATTTCTATCATTGTGCTTTTAGTGTTAAACAAGAGAAAGCACAACACTTAGGCAAGAAAAGCAGAGCTAGAAGACCGCAAAGGTTACTCTGATGATAATTTTAGATGTTCAGATCTTACCACAGGTTCAACTTATAGCCCCCGCAGCTGGAGACAGATTTAGTAGAAGATGAAGAGTTGTTTATATGTGATGCGGTGAGTGATCCAATCTCGGATGAACAGTATGCAGGGCTTGACAAAAGCGCTGTCCGATACCTCCGGGCTACTGAAGTCACAGCAGCAGAAGGCAATAAAATTCTGTCATGACTATTCTATTGTTGTGTTACTTCAGACAGTACACATGTAACTTTCTGCTTCTCATTGCAGCAGGCCTGCAGAGGAAAATTCCTACCAGGGGCAGAAAAGGGAAGCCTGCACTTTTCTAAAATGACTAAAACTGTAAACTGCAAGAAGGAAATCTTTGTTGAATGAACAATATTTAGCTTTCACTAAATTTAGTATTTCGTTTGACTTTTGTTGTAGGACATTGAGTTTAAAAGAAAATTAAATTCAGGAATCAATATTGCTCTAAATAGGATATGTTCAGTATTTTGCATAATAATTAAATTTGATTATTTTCAGTACTCAATTTACTCTTGGGCTAGCTCCTCAGAGACCCAAGCTAGTTAACTAAAGTAGTGGGCAAGCTGATTTTTTTTATTTTCATCTTGTCCTGAGTACGAGGTCAGGGACAAAGACTGGAAGTTTTTCATTCTCATTACAGCTGCTGATAGCAATAGAGACCTTATTCGGAGTAACAAGATACAAGGTAATAAGAGAGAATATTTTATAAACATCTTCACAGTATGGTACACAAGTGTTTATCTAGCCTGCTATGGATAGACAGATAAAGCAGGATAAGAATGTGTCATTACAGCAATTTCTGTTGTTTTGACAGAAGGGGTTGCATTCAATGGACAGCAGTGCAGCAGTGGCGTGGCAACATTTTCCCAAACGTTTAAACTCAACAAACTAGCTAACTCTGTTAAGGATGAATGCTCAATTCAGTAAATTTTTTGGGAAGGCATTACAAAGCACACACAATGTTTTCAGTGAGTGAAGACGGCTCAAGAAAGGATTGATGATAATTTGGTAAATAGTTAATGAAATTCTTTGTTGTTAACCATTAAACTACCATCACAGGTATGAGGGCAAAGTTTTTTCCTATACGGACCCACCTTGACTGGCAAATAATGTATTTTTACTTTTTCTTACTCTTAAATAATGTATTTCTAGCAGAGCTCTGGCGCACGAAGCGCGCCTGCGGAGCACCATGGGT